ATACCAGAACATAAACGAGCTGATCGAAAAGGCATCGGAACAGGAAGCCGGGCTGGAAGAAGAACGTAAGCAAGCTAAGAGAGGGCATGCAACAACTGTGAAAAGGACTTGGAAAATCTCAAGTGAAGGAACCGTAGTTCCACCTAAGCAGCTATGTGGAAGTTGTGGAAAGAAGCACCTGGGCGAGTGTTGGCATGGGATGTGTTTTCGGTGCAAGCAGTTGGGACATCTTAAGAAGAATTGCCCGCTTAAACAACAATTGGATACTAGATGTTTTCGCTGCAAACGTCAAGGTCACATAGTAAAGGATTGTGGAGTTCATAAGACAAGAGTAGCAGATGGGACATTACCACCACCACCCAAGAGGCAAGCACCAGAGCCGAGGATGTTTGTTGCTAGGGATCATCAATGAGCTGAAATGATCACGGTATGTTTTTATGCATAACTTCTTGCAAAAAAAAAATGATTAGTAGAAGTAGAGTGCACCCAAGTCTAGTAGTGTAATCCTAGCGTGTTATTCGAGGGCAGTAGAGACGGTGGTTTAGGAACCCTATACGCTTGATCGAAAGTGGGGGAGAGTTAAGGACAAGGTTAAAAGAGACTTATCGAACCATGGAGCAAGTGGAATAGCCGATAAGAGCTAGGAGGAACATAAGGCTGCTGCCAAGTTGGATCAAGGGACACTAGTGGATGGTTGAACCCACGGATGGGGATGCCTAGACGAAAGACCATGGGGACCAAGGAAAATCAGAATAGCGCAGCGGAGGCGTGGTGGCAAGCCAGCAGCACACCATAACAGATGTTTTGATTTCGCGATGACACCACATGTGGGGCGAGTAAATGAGGGTAGAAGTACTCTAGAAGACATTCTGAAGCCAGCAGCAAGAATACGTCTAACCGTAACTATAAGCAGAGTATGGGTGAGTTTGTGAACCACAAGTAAATGTTGACTTAGAAGGGTGGATGGGATACAATATGATGAGGGACCACCGCAAGTTTAGTGAGCAAGTGACGCAAGATACCCACGTTGGTTTGGAAGTTTGTGGTTTGAGTGCCGACACGCAGAATTCGGGGACGAATTCTATTAAGTGGGGGAGATTGTAACAACCCAGACCCGGCCCATTGACATTTGTATTTTTTTTAAAAGAAAGCCCAACTGCAAAAGGCCCAATAGCTAGAAACCCTAGGGTTTTCCCTCATGTTCCTATAAAAGGAGGTGCCTCCTTCTCTTTTTTCTCATTAGAGAGAAACGAAGCGAAGCCCTGCAGAGATCCCGGGAGACCGAAAGCCCTAGCCGTNGAAGTCGGGATGGTGCCATCTATTTCAGTTTCGTTTTAAAGGGTTTCACTACGTTTTCTTAAACTATTGTTATGTTATACGGTTTTCATTGAATCTAGTTATTTGTAAGACGATTAAGATTGAAATAAAAGAAGTATTGGATTGAAGAAAAGTGTTGTTATGGTTAAAAATAGGATCCTAGGGACAGGGTTGTTACAATCTGTCTCTTGTGCAGAGCAACAGAGGGAAGCTCGTGAAGCTCGGGGCTGTTCAGGTGCTTCTGAACATGGCGAGGTTAGGACAGACGATGGCTCGGGTTTTGTTGATTCTCTGTAACATGGCTTCGTGTCCGGTGAGTCGACCCGCTTTGCTTGACTCGGGGGCTGTGGAGTGTATGGTTGGGATTCTGAGAGGGCCGAGGGAGGTTACTGAGTCGACTCGGGAGAGCTGTGTTGCGGTTTTGTATGGACTGAGTCACGACGGAGGGTTGAGGTTTAAAGGTTTGGCTCTGGCGGCGAACGCGGTGGAGGAGCTGACGAAGGTGGAGAGGAGTGGGAGAGAGAGGGCGAAGCAGAAGGCGAAGAGGGTTTTGGAAGTGATGAGAGCTAAGATGGAAGATGATTCTTCGCCGGAGAATGAGGAGATTGATTGGGAAGAGCTGCTGAACTCTGGTAGTGTATCTCGGAGTCAGTATCGACTCGGTGGCGACGGTGAGAAGTCGCGTGTTAACTCGTCCGAGTTTTGACGTGTCTTTTTAACTCGTAATTTCTTTTCTTTTTATTTTTATTTTTAATTTAATTGTGGATTTTAAGCTTTTTCTTTTCCCACTTTTTTTTTATAATTTCTAAATAATAGGCTTGAGGAGTTGTAATTAGTTGGAGATGAGATTTTTCTTTTGTGAAATTTTATGGCTGGGGTGGAATATTCTTGTATTTTCTGGCAATTTGGTTGGGTGGCTTCCTTTTTTTAAAATCCCATCCTTATTTTTCGTATTATCTTTTGCTTTTTGAAAAATTTAAAAAGAAACAATTGAAAAAGTTGTAAAGGAATGACTTTTATTTCCTTGAGAGATGGAATTGATTCTCCAACGAAATTATAAAGTTGTTTCTATTAATCTAATTTGGCTTCTTTAATTATTTGCATCACATGTAGCATAGTCTTTAGTCAGGAGTCAGTACCAAAAACTTGAGATGAGAGAATGACGAGACAGAAAGCTTGAAAATGAAAAAGGCCGTAGTTGGACATTTTGTCTGAATTAGTCTGAAGCCTCTGAAAGTGATGTAGGTGCAGATGTACCCAAACATGCATGTGCACTCTCTAGGATACAGTTGCTAAGACCAAATCACAATCAGGTGATGGAACACTTTCTCGGGAGATGATAGAGGTGGAACCAGACGGTATGAAGGGAGCAGACCTTTGATGCCAATGTAAAAGATTTAGTTCTGAAGAAAGAATTGTTTACTAGTAACTAGTTTCAGTCAGCAAAGCTAAACATATACCTGATGTTATCATGTTGGTAGAACATGGTGTAATATCCCGGAAAAACGATCATAATATATCCGACATATGACTATATATTTTAATGTATATCTGGAGTATTGTCTCATATGACAATGTGAAAATATTCATTTTCTTTTATAAAATTCAAATTTCATATTCATTTTGTGGAAGAATATAAGAGTATTCTTATTAGATGAGTTCTAAAAAAGGTTCTTATCCATTTTGGATATTATTATTTTATTGTATATTTGTAAAATACATAATTAATTAAAATAGAAAACATAATCAATAAAAAAATATGACATATAATCAAAAAAATTATGCGGATCTTACATAGTCTCATTTGGAATACATGTTCACTTTTATTTCTCTACATTTTCTTTTCATATTATTATTTCCTTAGACATTGGTGGTAAGAACCTACCAATGAGCATGATCTAAGAGATGAAATGTCTTTTTGAATTGCCATGTACTCTAGATATATATTGAACATATGATCATACTTTAGATATGTAATATCCAGCAAAATTGATTATTGACATATGAAGAAACTACTTTTTTATTAGCTAACTAAGAGCAACATTAACTCAGTCTCTTAAGTACGTTTTTAAAGCAATTAGGATTTTTTTTTTAAATGAAAAAAAGAAATAAACCTAAGACACATCTCTTATTTAAGGTTAAGAAGAAATGTTTCTTGTGCGAGAGGTGTCACAAGACCAATAGGCAGAGAAGAGGCGTCGACTTTCTTTCAATCTTTGCTCTCTCTCTATCTCTCTCTCGAAACCAAACGGAAATTTCTCTCTGCCTCTCGGTGCTCTCTTCGACGAAAAAGCGAGTCTCGCTCAGTGGATACACTCAATGGTCTTGAAATGGACACGTCCAAGCTGAGTCTCAAGCGAAAAGTAAAGTCGGAACGTCCCTCGAAAGAGAGAAGGCAAATCATACGTGGGGAGGAAGCCAAGATGTTTCTGGGTTTTCCTCCCAATTCTCGTCCCGATCCTTCTCAGGTTCTTCAGTTTTGGGATTTGATTCAAGAATTAGGGTTTTGTCTTGATCATTTGATTCGGTGATCGGTTTTGTTGGGAATTTGAATTCTAGTTGGGATCTTATAGTCTTAGCTTATGATTGGAATTGGTTAAAGAAGATTATAGGAAGAAAGTATGGGAATCACTTCCTGACTTGTTCCCAGATGATCAGAAGCTCCGTGCCGAGTCTATGCTCAAATCTGCGAGTCCAGAACCTTCTTCTTACCCTCATCTTCTTGTCTTTGTTTTCTTCTCACAAGACAAATCCGTATTTGTAGATATCAGAAGCTTACTCTTGCCTTGAGTCTGGTAATTTCTATAAATTGTAGCTTCATTACGAAATATTTCTTCTCTTTAGTAAGCTCTCTGAGTTCCTCATTGATGGTCTCTGTTTTTAGGTGATGTTAAACGCCAAAATTACTCAAGATCAGATAAGCAAAATAAAACGACTCAAACCACTTTTTAGTATGTGTTATAAAACTAAGCGGGGTGGGTTACTACACATTGATGTAACTCTCAACATTGATAAGGTGTGTATTCCAGGGTGGTGAAGAAAGGAGTCTGTGCATATCCTAAAAGAGGTAACACTTGGTTGATTGGTGCACATTTCCTTTTGATCGTCCTTAGAACCATCGGCCTTGGAAGAATCAATGCCAACATGTATCACTCTCTGAACTTGACCATACTGTAACATTCCTGTTAAATATTAATCAGCATTGGTGTGTGTGGCATTTGCAGGGGCATACAATATGCAAAAACAGACCTTCCCCTCACAATACGTTCCTTCTTTGACTCTGAGTGTCTTTCTTTCAACAAAACATTCTGGATCTGAGAACAACCAGCAGTGAGATCTATTTCCTTCTTGTTAAATTCGAAAAGGATGTTAGGTTAAGAGTAAATCTTGTAAGATTTAAAGTCCATAAGAATTTTGGATTATTTGTTTAGTAATTCCTATACTTATTAGAATTCTTATATTTTTTCTAATAACCTTTAATTAAGAGAATAGCATTGGAACACAAAATCTAGGTGTCTTTTAACTAAAATTCTTAACTAACATTTAATACTTAAAAAGTCATTAAGAAACCCTAATAGGGTTCTAGGATTAATTATGCTCTAATGTTCTAGAAGTTTATAGCTCAAGAACCAGCTACCCCTAACTAATGTTCTAGAAGGCATTCCCCAAAGGCTCCTTCTCGGATTTACAACATGTCAAAATATAAAAAAATGTCTAAAGTTTGGAGCCTGCAGATGATTCCATTCTTACACGTTGGGCTCACAGAATATGTCGGGAATGTCTTCTTCAGAACTGTGTCTGAAAATTCAGTTGGGAAGAAAATTAACAGGGTATCTCAGCTTCAATGGAAAGCCAGGTGGTTCAGAAGGCATGCAAAAAGTCATGAAAATAAACAGAAAACAGTAAGTAATGGATAATTTTCTAACAAGCTCTCTCATACTCTATCTGAATTTAATATAGAGCTTAACATCTTTATGCTTATGTGATGTAAGGGTATCTCCGACCCAACTCCAATTTTTACTCCAAAATGGAATAAAAGAAAATATGTAGTAGAAAACACTCCAATTCAACTCTATTTTCCACTCCATAATAAAGTTTACTCCATAAATGAAATAATCTATTTTTTGTTTGTTCATTACTCCATTATTGAATGGGATATGAAGTAGGGATGGAGTATTTCTACCCTATATTTACTTTTACTCCATTTTGGAGCAGGGCCAGCTTATTCGGTCAATGGGCCTTGTGCTCAAAAGAGCAATTTTTTAAAATTGTTGTTATATTCTTAAAAATTGAAAATTAAGACCCTAATTATATATGTTTTTGATAAAACAAAGCCTTAGTTCTTTAAAGAAATTTTCAGAAAAATGAAGGACCTAGTGCAAAAGCACCGCCAGCACATGTGTAAAACCTGTACTTAGAGGAAAAAATGGAATATTACATTAAAGATACTCTAACAGATTGTGCTTATTTCCTTTTAGCTTTTAAAAAATGTCCAAAGTCTGGAGCCTACAGATGATCCCACACACCTTGGGCTCACAGAATGTGCTGGGAATGTCTTCTTACATAGCTGTTCTGGAAATTAATTTGGGAAGAAATAACAGGGTATCCGGCTTCAATGGAAAGCCAGGTGGCTCAGAAGGCAGGAAAAAATTATGAAAATAAACAGAAAATAGTAAGTAATGGATAATGTTCTAACAAGCTCTCTCATACTCTCTGAATTTAATATAGAGCTTAACATCTTTATGCTTATGTGATGTAACAGGATTGTGCTTATGTCTCTGAAAGCTGTAGCATTTGGTCTGAAAGTTTGATTGAACAACAACAACGTTAAGCTAGCTTTCAGGTAAATGCCACGTAGAAGCAGCTTTTGTTGAGGTTCTTGAATAACAAGAATTAACAAACACATCAATAAGAATACACTATAGACACATCACACAAAACACTAATATGAAGCACCATTAACAACCAAATCTCCCCCCAAATATCAGACTTATCCTCTAACAATGTCACCAAAATTTAAATAATAAAACAAACAATCAAGAATCTCTTAGGTTAAGAGTGAAAACTTCTTAGTTGATTGCATCACACCTTCGCCGGATCTCTCCTCGCCGTCCGGTCAAAACTCCGTAGACGCTCAGCTTCTGCATAGCTCTTGCGAAGTCTTTAAAGAACCGACCTTGGTCTCTCGCGTATAGCTCAACGAAAGGCCGGGTTCTCGGATCCGAGTACAACCCGTGATCCGACTCAAGCAACCCGAGACCTTTCGGAATATTCTGAAAATACATGTTGTCGAACTTGTTCGGAGTCATCACGTCGTTAAAGACAGACATCGTAGGGTCATTTTTGTAATTCGAACAAGCTTTCCTTAAAGCGTCAGCGAATCTCGGATTATACCCGGTACCGTTAACCCGGTCGGTAAACTCTTTACAGTGCGAGAACCCGATGGTATGGGCCCCGCTCAACGCCACCATCTCCTGAACGGAGAATCCTCTGGATGTGAACTGTTCGACGAGCTTCGAGATCGGAGAAGACGGAAGAGGGAGGCTATCGGCGCGGAGGAGAGACGATTTCGAGACGCGAGAGTCGCGGCGGCCGAGGGAGACCTCGTAGTAAGGTCCGCCGACGGTGACGAGGAGATCGCGGGCGGCGACGGCGAGGATGTCGGAGCAAGAGACGGTGTTGGGACAGGCGAGCTCGAGTGCGGTTTTGGCGCGGGTGACGACGTCGAAGCCGTCGCCGGGGAGGGAGAGGTTGATGGAGGAGTCGCGTTCGGCGGTGGCGAAAGCGGTGGAGGAGACGAGGACGGAGGCGTCGCAGCCGTTGGGGAAACAGTCGTGGAAGAAGAGGCGGAGTGCGGCGGCGGCGGTTGTTGGGGTTGTGATTTGTTTGGTGGTGATGGTGTCGCGGACAATGTCGAGGAATCTAGGGCATGATTTGGAGTAGAAGTCGGTGGAGAGGCGAGATTCGGTGGCGGAAGCTAGTAAGGAGAAGAAAAGGAGGATGATGAGTTTCGCCATTGTTGAAGGAGATAGAGAACTTAAGCTTCAGTAGAGTGAGAGGCGGTGAGATTTAATGGAAGAAGAAGAAGAGAGAGAGTGGGAGACTGAAGATCACGCGCTTCTCTGTACAGTCTACCACCAATCACGGGGGTGGACAGAGGATCCGGTTATTTTTTTATACTAGTTGGTTTAATGTTTATCGACCGCTTTACTGTGTGTTTTTTCTTATTAATGACCGGTTATCTTAATAATTGAGTTGGTTTACTATAGCAGAAAATGGTGAGAACCTATTGGCAGCACTTTTTCTAAAAAGAAAAAATTAGACAGAAGGGGGAATGTGATGATAGGTAAGAGATTCTGTTGTGAACTTTTCCAAGCGCATGTGCTTCGATGGTCCCGGCCCATCTGATGTCCAATGCACTTTGTGCATTTTTCACGGTCATTTTGCAGTGTCGATTACAAGAAATGGGGTAATGTAAAGTAAACATAACACGAATTATTTTTTTTCTTCCAGAAACCTAACATGATTTTTAATTAATAATGTAGTTACTTTCTAGCATTTAGGAGATAATCTCCATAGTAGCTAAGGAAATAATGTAAAAAGAAAAACAAGCAGAGATGGTAAAAGGATGGAGAATGTGATTCTTCAAGTCTCTTGCTTAGATTTCTTCAAAGTAGAGTTCCATAACGCAGCGTTCAGTGCAGAAGATGTCTCCAAGGAAGCTCTCAACAAACTTGCTGCCTGAATAACAGAAAAAAAATACGAAACAATTAGGAAATCATAACATGTTTTTTCTTGACAACGAAAGGATACATATATACCTGTGTTTTGCTGATGCTTATCTCTTGCACCTGTAGATCCTCTGCTGGACTCTCCAACTTCTTCAATTGACAGAGAGCTGAGCTAGTGTTCATTGGTGTAATGATCAGATCATCTGATACTGTAAACTTTGCGCCTCTCTTCACAAATCCGCTACCTTTTTTTGACTGGTAACGTCCACGAGATTTTGGATCAATCATCTCAACACAAAAACCAGAATTAAATATCAAGAGAGGAGGCATCTCAGAGATGATATTGAGCAATTGCTTCTGACATCTATAGTAACGGGGAAGCACGGCTTTGGATCTTGTTGAAGCATTCAACTCTTTCAAACTTTTAAACAGGTTTCCAATGCACCCAAAAGTGGAGATGTCACCAGATATTTCCACTACGGATTCCAGCGAAACAGCTAGAAATGTGAAAAGAAGGTCAACAAAGTCTTCTCCACATTCAACATATAAAATCTTCATATCGTCTTTCCTAACGATGGCACTGATGGTTATTACTTCTAGTCTAGCTTCTATTTCTTTTACCATATACGGACTTGGCGTATTGCATGGCTTCATCACACGTTTTGGGCTCTGCTTGTTGAGGAACGTGTCCGTCAAGGGAGCATTTGAGAAGAAGATACATTCCAACAGAGTCATAACCTGTATCAGGATTAAAGCATATTGAGAGCAAGATTTTAAGCAGAGTTAGTTTCTAATACATAACACACCTACAACTAAGATGGAGCAAAGAGTAACATACCTCTTCTAAACCAATTTCAACAAGCCTTTCTGCAACGTTACAAAGATCACCACAGCCTACAGATCTGAGCATTTTCAAGACAAGGTCAGTGGACCTAACTGCTACTTTCATGTCGTCAGTTATGATAAATGAAGACCTGCTGCCTCTAACAAATACTCCATCTTCTATGTCGGCTACAACTTCTTCTCCTGGAGTCGGCATCTCTTTGTTCATCAACTTTCCACATCCACATCGAGAAGTGCTAAAATAACTGCACGTTTTACAGATGGAGTAAGAACTGCAGACAAACCACTTGTTTCCATCAGTAGGGTTTAAGTTGAGTTTAAGCCTTCTGCAGGGTACATCCCACACGCTCCTCGGATAAAGGAGCAACTGCTTACAAGCTTCGGTCTCAAAATCATCAATCCCCATATCAACAACACTCTTATAGAGGTTGCTAAAACAAGGAAAAGGCTCAGATTTTCGATGATTCTCAAGCAATCTGACAATGGTGCCCATAGGCAGTGTCAGAAGACTGAAGAGCACATCAACAAAGTCCCTACAAGCCTCAGCAAAAACAACCTTGTTATTCTCCTCACAAACGACAAGTTTCAGAGTGAACTTAGTCTCCCCAGAACTCTTAGCCATCTATTCTAGCAAAAATTAGATGAAAGACAGAAGATAACTTTTGAAGGACAATATGAAATCACAGAGCCATCCTCAACACTAATAAAGTCACAAACCAATAAACTGAAACAGCCCTTTCAGTTTCCAAAAAATTTACTGAGAAACCAAACGTCAGACTCATAACAAATACTCTGAACCGGCTTTCCTTCTATCATTAAATGAACAGTAATGCCAAAACCAAGTTCCAAGATTTAAGTCAAGTTTCGATATCATGAACAACATAGATCACAGTTAATACTTTCAATTTCCCAAAAAGTCAATACTAGTTCAGTTAGTTAAAACCCTTGACAAATAATGAATACAAGTAAAGATAAACCCCTAATACTATGAACCTCGTATTCTCGTGTAAATTGAAAAGTATCTAAATGAAAGCCTTAAACTTCAAAGTTTAGCGAAACTAAAACGAGAAATAGCTGAAATCAAAAGATTAGCAATTTAGATGTCCAAGAAACAAATACTGTTACTAAAACAATCAGATGCTAATCAAAAGATTATGTATCGATCAAATTTAGCAAGAACTTGACGTTTCAGGCGAAATGTATTTGAGTTTACATATTTCTTCAATGTTTTTGATTAAACAACAAAAAAATATAGTTTGATATTTACTGAACTTACAAACGCAACCGGGTTTCTTCTACCACTTAAAAGCTGACTAGATTACAAACAAGTGTGGTTCAAGATTTTATTATTCACGAAAATAATTATGAACTAAAAAAAGGAGTTCTCATCCCAGTTCAAGATCTATTATTGAGGAGAATAATTATGAACTAAGAAAAGGAGTTCTCATTCCACTCCATACATTCAAGTCCTATAATTGTGTGTGTTTACTATAGCAGAAATTGTAAGAAACTTTCTGCAGAACTTTCTTAAAAGAAAAAATAGACAGAACAAGGGAATGTGATGATATCTAAGAGATTGTGTAGTGAGCTACAATTTTTTTAATAGAGCATGAGCTTACATCGTCCCATCCTATCTGTTCCCAAATGTACTTGCTCCCATTTTTCATGGTCATTTTGCATTGTCAATTACAAGAGTGGGGTTATGTAAAATAAATATAGCATGAATTATATTTCTTTCAAAAAACATAGCATGATTTTTAATTAGCACTGTAGTTTCTTGCATTTAGAAGATAATCGCCATAGTAGCCAAGGAACTACTGTAAAAACAGAAGAAAAAAAAAGCAAAAAGAGATGGTAAAAAGATGAAGAATGTGTTTCTTCAAGTCTCGTGCTTGGGTTTCTTCAAAGTCGAGTTCCATAATGCAGCGCTCAGTGCAGATGATGTCACCAAGGAAGCTCTCAACAAACTTGTTGCCTGATTTACAGAAAAAAAAAAAAAACGAAATATATAGGAGAATCGCTTCATGTTTCTTCTTGATCAAAAAGGATACATACCAGTGTTTTGCTAATGCTTATTTGTTGCACCTGTAGATCCTCTGCTTGACTCTCCAACTTCTTCAGTATGCAAAGAGCTGAGCTTGAGTTCATTGGTGTGATGATCAAATCATCAGATACTGTAAATTTTGCGTCTCTCTTCACGAACCCCGTACGTTTTGTTGACTTGTTACGTCCGTGAGATTTTGAATCAATCAGAACCACAGGTTCCTTATTGCTGGCTAAATGACAGGTCAAAGGCTGCTCAATGATGATATTGAGCAATTGCTTCTGACATGTATAGTAATGAGGGAGCACGGCTTTGGATGTCGAAACTTCTGCAGCACTCAAGTCTTTGAAGCTTTTGAACAGGTTTCCAATGCACCCAAAAATGGAGCTGTCACCAGATATTTCCAGTATAGATTCCAGAGGAAAAGCAAGAAAAGTGAAAAGAAGGTCAACAAAGTCTTCTCCACATTCAACATATAAAACCTTCATATCATGTTTCCTCAAGATTGCGCTGAAACTTATTACTTCTTCTGATTTATCTATTTTTCTCCCCAGATATGGACTCAGTGTTTCACAAGTCTTCATCACACCTCGGGGACTTTGTCTGCTCAAAAACGTGTCCGTCAAGGGAGCATTTGAGGAGAAGATACATTGCAGCAGAGTCATGACCTAGATCAAGACAGTAGAAAGATAGTGAGAGTAAGATTCCAATCTGAGCTTGTTTCCATAAAATGTAACGCTACACTAAACATGGATCAGTAGTAACATACCTCATCAAAACCGACATCAACAAGCCTTTCCACAACCTTAGAAAAATCACCACAGCCTACAGATTTGAGGTTCCTCAAAACAAAGTCAGTGGACCGAACGGCCACTTTCAAGTCGTCAGTTACGATGAATGAAGACCTGCCTCTAACAAATACTCCATCTTCTACGTTATAGTTTACAGATTTTTCTGTACACGGGGACTTCTCGTTCATCAACTTTCCGCACCTACAACGGAAAGTGCTAAAATAACTGCACATTTTACAGATAGAGTAAGAACTGCAGACAAACAACTTGATTCCGTCAGTGGGGTGTAAGTTGAGCTTAAGCCTTTTGCAATGGACATCCCACAAGCTCCTCGGATGAAGGAGCATCTGCTTACAAGCTTCCGTCTCAAAATCATCAATGCCCATATCAACAACACTCTGATAGAGGTTGCTAAAACAGCCAATAGGCACAGGCTCAGATATTCGATGATTCTCAAGCAATCTGACAATGGTGCCCATCGGCAGTGTCAGAAAGCTGAAGAGCACATCAACAAAGTCTCTACAAGCCTCAGCAAAAACAACCTTCTTGTTCTCCTCATCAACGACAAGTTTCAAAGTGAACTTAACCTCTCCAGAACTCTTAGCCATTTCTAATCAAATTTAGATAGAAGACAGAAGATAACTTTTCAAGGATAATAGGAAGTAACAGATCCATCCTCAACGCTTATAAAGTCACAAACCAATAAACCGAAACAACCCTTTCATTTTCCAAAAAACTTTACCGAAAAACCAAGCGTCATCACAAATACTCTGAACCCATCTCTCATGCTTTCACTTCTATCATTGAATGAACAGTGATGCTTAAACCAAGTTCCAAGGTTTTAGACAAGTTTCGATATCATGAACAACAGAAACCAGTTCATACTAGTATCAATTTTCCAAAGTCAACAGTAGCTCAATTAATTCAAAAACCTTGATAAAACATGAAATACAAGTGAAGATAAAACACTATTAGTCCAATCGTGCAAATTGAGAAGTATCTAAATGAAAGCCTCAAAATTCAAAAAAGAGAAGTAGCTAAAAAGTCAAGAGCTTAATTATGTAGATGTCCAAGAAACAAATCTAGTTACTGAAACAGTCAGATGCTAATCAAAAGATTCTCTAGCAATCAAGTATAGCAAGAACTTGACGTCTTGAACGCTTACAAGTGATAATGATAGCCACGACTTGAGTGGATACATAGTGATGCTACAGAACAGTTAGTGGAGAGTTTCCAGGGAAAATGTATTTGGGTATACATATTTCTTCAATGGTTTTTGATTATACAACAAGAAATCTAGTTAATACAAACTCAACCGGGTTTCTTCGACCACTTTAAGCGGATTAGATTACAAACAAACCATCTAATTGCAACCTCGGTTTACTAATCTCAACCTGACCATTCAAAAACTCACCAATATTTCCTATATATCGTCAGTGGGCATGATCTTCAATAGCTTGACCAGATCATATGACTTGAAATCTCTTCCAAAGCACAGAGCCATATCCAATGCTACTTTCCCATCCTGTAGAAAAAAGGCAAAAGACATTAACCAAATTGTTCTGTGGTTATCGACCAAAACATATTATATAGCCTCTCAGCTTTTTCTTCATATAATATAGCCATTAAAACCTTTGTTCTTCTTGTCTTATCCGCACCATTGGTCAACAAGATCTTTGTAATGTCTCGATTCCTGCTTTGTACAGCAATATGTAAAGGAGTCCACCCTTCCTGTAAAACAAAGAATGCTTCCTCAGATTTCAAATCGAAACTGAATCTGAAAAGGATTTAATAGCTTGGATAAACATTTTTGTTGCTACTGACATTATCTGTAACATTGACGTCTACGTTGTACTTGATAAGTAGTTTTACAGTCTGCAAGGCTCCAACTTGAACTGCGTAGTGAAGTGCAGATGCACCGTCCTACATGTTTGAACAATCCTGTTATGAAAAGTTTGAACCTTTTTCTCATATGGGTTTTAAGTATATGGAACCAAACAAGTTCTTCTCACCCGATCTTGAACGTGAGGATTTGCTCCTTTTCTCAAAAGATGGCTAATCACTGCTTCCTTTTTACCAATGACTGCCTTATGAAGAGCGGTTTGGCCATCCTGTTGATAAGAGATTGAATCAATGATACTCTAAAGAGTATATTTGGCGACCAACATTTTATCTTATTAAGCAAAACCTTGTCAACTTCATCAATGTCTAGTCCATTGTCCATGAGGTTATCCATTAATTGAATCTGCATTGACAAAGCAAGTGTCTGAAGTGGCTTCCACTTCTTCTGCAAAGTTTCATATAAGATTGACATGAGAATGACTTGAAAATGAAATATGCATACAAGAGGGTACTAAGACAAAAAAAAAAAAAAATCAATTGAAAACATACAGTTGATATCATTTGAAGGTTTGGTTTATCGTTTTGCTGAAGAATCGCTCGTTCTTCAGGTCCAAGAAGTTGCTCAACCTCTGCAAATACACACACACAAAATTACAGCTTCTGCAGAATCTAAAAGAGCAAATGAAGAGAAAGAAGAACCTCTCGCAAGCTGTTCCTCGTAATTGTTGTCTGTAGTAACCTTCTGGGCTCTGGAGTCTCCTTCTTCCCAATCACTCTCGTAATCTAAATCATTCCCAATACCTTCTTCGTCTTCTTCTCCTTCTTCTTCACTGTCGCTACCATCATCTGGGTCTTCCCAAAATTCACGTTTGGATTGCACGGAAGGTGTTCGACGATTTGTCTCAGAGAAACATCGAGTCTTCACCGTCAATTCTCTCTTGACAGAAACCGCTAAGCGTGATGCGACGCTCCTGGGAAGACAATCAACGAGCAGCTTCGATTTGGAGGAATTAGAAACGGGAAACTGTCGAAGGAGATAACTTTGTGGAGGGATGGATAAGACCCATGAGACCATTGTTGCCAAGTTCTCCTTCAATTGTAAGTCGCACGAATTCTCGTATTCAGAACCCAGAAGATAAGAAGTGTAAATAAACTGAGAATCCGACGGTGTAAACGCCAGTGAGAGACTCTGGTTCCCGCTTTCGATAGTTTTCAGTGGTTTATAAGATAACAAGTTACAAACAACGAACAAAGACTACATTTCTCTGCCCACTATTGCTTTTTGGGCTTTTAGTTTATTTTCTTTCGGCCCATGTGTTTAGTTATTGGAGCCCAATATGTATAGACTTCACTGATTGATTAATTAATTAACAGCTTATTTGGTCTCATTGGTTATAAAACCATCGTCTAAAGTAAAATTTAACCGAAGAAAACATAGGTTTTTCAATGAGGAATTGTGCATATATAGTATTTGTACCTTCAGGTTGTTGTTCTCATATACTATTATTTTTATATCATATTGTAATTCCGAAACTCAATTGTCTTGTAGGTATACCAGAGACCACTATAATTGCATTGTCCTAATCAGCGTAAAACATTATTTCCTCCTGGTGAGTGTT